CTGGACCGCAGCTCTCACAGTGGTGGGGGCCCTGCCAAAGGGAGCCGGCCCCTTAACTCTTTGCTGGCTGGTCACCGGGTGGCCCAGCCCTCCTCTGCTCCTGGGTCCAGGGCTTCTGCTCAGGTTGGTGTATACGTGGGGAGACTAAAGGGAAAGATACACCTGGTGGGAGGTGTTAAGATCAGGGAGGGTTACGGTGGGAAAGGGATACCTGGTCAGGGATAGGGAGGTGGGTCTAAAGATATTGCTTTCTGGAAAGTCTGCTTTTTTCAAAACTGTGAATTGAAGGCAACAGTGTAGGGTTTCTTCAACTGGGGTGGGGGGCATGTGTAAGAAGCCCAAATGGCTATTATTTATTGGGGTTCTATGCTGGTGGCAGTGGGGGTGGCAGTTGGTGCAGAACTGATAAGGAGCCACCAGGGTAGAGCAGGAGGGAGGTGTTTTGGTACCCGAGGCGGCAGTTGTGGCCGAGTGATGATGGGGGCTATGTCCTTGAGTGGGTTGACAGATGGGGAGTGAGTCCTGGGGTGTGGTAAGGAAGGGAGAGCACTTGTGTGAGGGGGCACCATGGGGCTGGCCTTGGCAGGGGTGGGGTGCCCAGTGAGGATCAGCTGACTGCCTGAGGCTCTCCTGGGATTGAGGCAGCTTGCTAGATCAGCTGAGAGTGGGGATTCTGGCAGGGATGGACCTTGAGGTGAGCCTGGGCGTTAAGAGTTGTGGGTGTTCAGCCTTACTCCTTCCTCAGCCCGGGAAGGGGGAATAGGCTGTATGAAAGGCTGGAGACAGCCTGTCATTGTCATTGGTTGCATCAGGTGGTTGTAAATGCAGGGATTTTCCTTTCCAGCCCACCCCACCCCTTTATGCAAATGAATGGCACCACAGGCTGATGCAAGCCTGGCCACCTGGAAGCAATTCTGCATGACAATTCGCCCTTGCTTGCTGTGGCCAGCTTCCTACAAACCCAGCTTTTAAGGATTCCCATTCCCCAAATGAGAAATGACTCCTGTAGCACCTTTCCTTCTTAGTGGTGAGGTGGCCCTGCCTTTTGGCCTGGCTGTCTCCGGTCCAGATCGACACATATGGTGGTTTTTGCTAGCTTCTGGAAATGAATGAAGCCTTTGCTGGTACAGCAGGGCAGGGGCTAGCGGCTGGCAGGTGTAGGGCTAGGAGGGACATCTGAGGGGCAGGACAGGTAGAGAGGGGCCCCAGGACCTGAGAGCTAAAGTCATCGTGATCTGTCTTTCAGGACATAGATCTGATTGACATCCTTTGGCGGCAGGATATTGACCTGGGGGCTGGGCGTGAGATTTTTGACTATAGTCATCGCCAGAAAGAGCAGGATGTGGATAAGGAACTGCAAGATGGAGCGGAGCAGGAGGACACCTGGCCAGGCGAGGGCGCAGAAGCTCTGGCGCGAAATCTGCTAGTGGATGGCGAAACTGGAGAGAGCTTCCCTGCTCAGGTACTACCACCCCTGCTCACTTCCAGAAACTTCTTGGAGACGGCAGGTTGTGTCTGGGGAATGGTCCTGAATGTATATTTTGGGCTGGGGTCTCCAACAAGTCATAGTGAGTGGGCTGAGGCAGGGGGAGTGGATGAGCAAAACAGAAGCAGAGGGACCAGGCCTTAGTAACAGACATTACAGAGGCGGCAGAGCACCTGGCAACTTCCTGCTTGCGTCAGGACTCTTCACTCTCCCTTTTCTCCCCTGGAATTTGGGACTTAGGGTCAGTCATTAGCTGGGGAACAGAGGGCGAATATAGGCCTGCAACCACGCAGGTCCTCCTTCAGCGCCCCCTTGGAAAGGCTGGGGAAGAGGCTTCGGCCCACAGGCAGCCAAGGCCCAGATCAGTCAGACTTACAGTTGCTATTGCCACAGGTGCCTGGTGGGGAGGACCAGACGGCCCTGTCCCTGGAAGAGTGCCTTAGGCTGCTGGAGGCCACCTGCCCCTTTGGGGAGAATGCTGAGGTGAGCAGGACTCCAGGGAGAGCCCGCCAAGCCAGCAGGGCAGCGTGCACACGCTGTGTCCCTCCGCGGCTGCCTGAGGGGCCAGCTCTTGGAGCTGGCCTTGTCCTGGCTGCTGGGAGTGATCTCAGAGGAAGGAAGAAACAGAGCCTCAGGCGGTAGTCTCTGGGAGGAAAGCAGAAGCCGGTCTTCCCTTCTGTTAAAGCCTCTGTGTTTTCCCTAGTTTCCAGCAGACATTGCCAGCTTAACAGAAGCAGTGCCTAGTGAGAGGGAGCCTCCAGGTCTTCAGAACAACCTCTTGTCTCCTCTCCTGACGGGGACAGAGTCGCCATTTGATTTGGAACAGCAGTGGCAAGATCTCATGTCCATCATGGAAATGCAGGTAGGATTATCAGAACAGGGCGCAAACCTATCGGACTTTGTGTTGTAACACCACTTGCTTTTCCATCTCTGGGAAGAGAAAGAGTAATACTCTCTCTGATCCACAGACATTGAGAGGTAACTGTCCAGGTGTCTCCTTGGGGCAGTAGGGCATAGAGTCAGGAGTCGGGAGTTTGGGTTAAAACCCCGTGGCTAAGCCATTTAAAGCAGGCCTGCCTCTTAAGTGTACTGCCTTCCTTTCCTTCAAGCAGATAATCACTTGGCTGGGTGCTTCCGAGGTTTAGCATTAATAAAAGCTGACGTTCATGCAGTGCTCTATAGCCATCATGTAATTTGGCCCTCACAATCATCTAGTCAGCCTTTTATTATTTGAAAGGTGAAGAAATGGAAGCTCAGAGAAGTTAAGTGATATGCCCATGGGCACACAGCAAGCGGGCAGCTAGGTTTTCTTACTCCAAGGCTTGGTCTTGTTTTCACTGTGCTGATTTTGTAGTGAAGAGGTAGTCAGTGTTAGGTGTTTTCTTACTCTCCTTCCTATATGGGGGATTCTGGCCAAACATGAGCTGGTCAGTCCTGCATTGGGGTGGAATCCATAGAAAGGAATCCATCTCTGCCAGGCCTGGTGGACCAAGCGGGTCCAGGAGCGGATGCTGTGAGCTCTGACTTCCAGTCTCCTGCCTGTGTTGGGTGCCTGCTAGTGTGAGCCCCCATCCTCACCTGGGGGAGTCTGCTCTGAGTGAAAGGTGATGCTCTTCTCCCCTTCCAGGCCATGGAAGTAAACACATCAACAAGTGAGATCCTGTACAGTGCGCCTCCTGGAGACCCATTGAGCACCAACTACAGCCTTGCCCCTAACACTCCCATCAATCAGAATGTCAGCCTGCATCAGGCGTCCCTGGGGGGCTGCAGCCAGGACTTCTCGCTCTTCAGCCCTGAGGTGGAGAGCCTGCCTGTGGCCGACAGTTCCACATTGCTCCCACTGGTCCCCAGCAATTCCACCAACCTCAACTCCACCTTTGGCTCTACCAACTTGGCGGGCCTTTTCTTTCCACCCCAGCTCAACGGCACAGCCAATGACACAGCAGGCCCGGAGCTGCCTGACCCACTGGGGGGTTTGTTAGACGAAGCCATGCTGGATGAGATCAGCCTGATGGACCTGGCCATTGAAGAAGGCTTCAACCCTGTGCAGGCCTCCCAGCTTGAAGAGGAATTTGACTCTGACTCAGGTCTCTCCTTGGACTCCAGCCATAGCCCTTCCTCCCTGAGCAGCTCTGAAGGCAGTTCTTCCTCGTCCTCCTCCTCCTCCTCGTCCTCCTCTTCTGCCTCTTCCTCAGCCTCTTCCTCTTTTTCCGAGGAAGGTGCTGTTGGCTACAGCTCTGACTCTGAGACCCTGGATCTAGAGGAGGCTGAGGGCGCTGTGGGCTACCAGCCTGAGTATTCCAAGTTCTGCCGCATGAGCTACCAGGATCCGTCTCAGCTCTCTTGCCTGCCCTACTTGGAGCATGTGGGCCACAACCACACGTACAACATGGCACCCAGTGCCCTCGACTCTGCTGACCTGCCACCACCCGGCACACTCAAGAAAGGCAGCAAGGAGAAGCAGGCCGACTTCCTAGACAAACAGATGAGCCGGGATGAGCATCGAGCCCGCGCCATGAAGATCCCCTTCACCAATGACAAAATCATCAACCTGCCTGTGGAGGAGTTCAATGAGCTGCTGTCCAAATACCAGCTCAGTGAGGCCCAGCTGAGCCTCATCCGGGACATCCGGCGCCGAGGCAAGAACAAGATGGCAGCGCAGAACTGCCGCAAGCGTAAGCTGGACACCATCCTGAACCTGGAGCGGGACGTGGAGGACCTGCAGCGCGATAAAGCCCGACTGCTGCGGGAGAAGGTGGAGTTCCTCCGGTCCCTGCGGCAGATGAAGCAGAAGGTCCAGAGCCTATACCAGGAGGTGTTTGGGCGGCTGCGAGATGAGAATGGGCGACCCTACTCGCCCAGTCAGTATGCGCTCCAGTACACCGGGGATGGCAGTGTCCTCCTCATTCCCCGTGCCCTGGCTGACCAGCAGGCCCGGCGGCAGGAGAGGAAGCCAAAGGACCGGAGAAAGTGAGCATGGGGAGGAAGAGGGGTTGATGCTCACCAAGATGGAAACTGGAGAAGGGCTGGGCCTGGACCTGGACCTACAGCAGGGGACTTTAATGCCTTCTTATCCAATAGATCTTCTCAGATGGGATGACTGCGGGTCAGTGGACAGGAAGAGGCAGGCACAGGTGCTGTCTGGCTGAGCTTCCCCAGCTGGGGAGGGTGGAAGTAACCAGACAGTTTGGGTGGACAGGGTCCTGACTCCTACCCCATTCCTTCGAGGGAAGGGGTGGCGATGGCATTGACGGAGGCCGACAAAGGGGGAAGAAAGGGACTTGTGAGAGGGAAGGAAGCAGTAGAAAGTCTCATTGCTGGAAGGAAGGAAGGAAAGAAACCAAAAAATCAAAGCTGGAAGAAAATCAAAAGTGCAGGATAAGATCGAATCTGGCCAGGATTCCAGGCAGCAGGTTTCAGTGGGACTAGGTCATTTGTGTGAGTAAACCCCACTTCACCCCAGGGGAGGGGTGAAACAGACAGACAAGGCGAGTTCTGGGAAGGGCTTTGTGAACTCTCTGCTCCTGCATTTTGGCATTCTTCAAGGGGAGCTCTTGGATATCTCCTGGAATATTTCAATTGTAGGGGAGCCACTGGGACCCAACACTGGCTTGGAGGGTTAGGGTTAAAGGGTAGAGTGAACAGGAAAGGGTCACAAGGTCCCATGTTGCAACAGCCCCAACACCAAGCATGTCACTCACTGCCCTGCCACTCCATCTCCCTCGGTGCCCAGTTACCCCTGAGCTGAGGCTCCAAGGACTCCATCAGAGCCTGCATGCTAACGCTGTTCTCTTCCCCGCCCTGCCACCCCACCCACCGGCTGCCCAGAGATGATCTGCAGCTGGGGTGCTGGCAATGTCCCCCCCTCCCCCAGTGCTGGGCCTGCAGCCTCCTGGGGGCTGCTCTGAGGCAGGGGGATACGGAGAAGCCAGGAAGTATTCAGCACAACACTGGGGAGTGACTTCCCTCAGGCCTCCCACCACCAACTGGGCTTATCACTGGAAAAGACAAACTACAAATCCCAGCAACAACAAACTAGTCCTCTTAGAGTTTCTTGCGCTTTGATTTAAGGGCTTGAGCCCTGTTTCACTTATAGGGTCTAGAATGCTTGTGTTGAGTAAAAAGGAGATACCCCAATATTCAAAGCTGCTAAATGTTCTCTTTGCCATAAAGACTCCGTGTAACTGTGTGAACACTTGGGATTTTTCTCCTCTGTCCCGAGGTCTCCGTCTGCTTTCTTTTTTGGGATTGTTTCTAGGAGAAAGAAGTGCATGTAATGGGGGATGAGGGCACCTCCCCACTCCCCCCAGAATGTTGACCACAGGCAGCTTCTCTGCACCCTGTTTAGCAAGGGCTCCTGGAGAAGGCAGAGGGGAGTGCCAAGGTGGCCAGAAGGTTCTAGGACCAGTGTCTTTAACTGTTTGCCACTGCTGCCCCCACCCCCTGCCTAGCTCTGGAGTGCTGTGTCTGCCTCCAGACTAGCAGGAGTGAGTTGAGAGGGGAAGCACTGATTCTTCTCCCCACTTGGGGGAGGGGGCAACACATTAACTGAGCAGTAGGGATAGAAGGCATGAGCCTGGAAAGTGCTTTTATAAATTATTTTCCTTGTAGATTTTATTTTTAATTTATCTCTGTGACCTGCCAGGGAGAGGAGAGAGAGGCTGTGAGCACATGACAAAATAAAATAAAATGGATGATTCATTCTCAAGTGCAATTTTTCCCTACCTTGAATTTAAATTGATAGTAAACAGGCCTCAAGGGGAGAAGTGGCCATTGTGTGGCTAAGACAGCTCACATGGGAATGTGGTGGAGCACAGGGGAGGTTGACAATGAGTAGAGACAAAAGAATAGTCTTGAGTGCTGTGTTAAACTTTTTAAGCAGGTGTTTTGTACCTTTACAAGGTTTGCCAGCTGGAATCCATTCAGGAAGGATTTGGAGTCTTTTTGCCTTTCTCATAGGGCTAAACTAGGTGTCGTGACCTGGCCCAGCTCCTTGCCTGTCCACCTGTGATCAGCATTTCATGTTGACTGTGCTATCTCTGGCGGCACCACCTGCCAAAGAGGTGCAGAGCATTGGAGAGGAGTCACACCAATGGCTGTGATGGTGGAAACCCAAGAAATCAACAGGACCAACACATGCCAAGCATGTCAGTATAACAGCAGGGCCACAGAACTAGAAGAGCAGGAAGCCAGACCCCAAGTTTAAGGTATAGTAAAGCCCCAGCTGAGAACCAGAATCTGTTCTCCCCCCAAAACAAAACCCTGCCTTAATACCAAGCCTGCGAAGTGCTGAATGATTTAAGGTACTGAGTGGTTGCTGGAACTGCCACATGCCCATCTTGGGCGTAGGTGCTTAGCAAATGCCCAAGTAATGAGTGCTCACCTGGCGGTCTAACAGGACAAGGTTAGGACCAGAAGCTGTGATCTTGAACTCCCATGTACCACTGTGTAACCTGACTCAGCCCAGTGCTTTAATGATGCTAGACTATCCTAAGGGGTGGAATAGACTTCAGGAATAACACTGATTTCTTACTTGTTTCAATTTACAATGGCTTTTCCCATGTCTAGTTGGAAAGAGTTGGTCATATAAACAAGAGCTCTTTCCTAATTAGGAATTAAGTACTTTTTGTAAGCCAGATTCTTGTGGGGGAGGGGAGGGAGAGAGAAAGACTAAAAATTAAGTTTGAGAAACTTGAACTCATGATGATAAAAAAAATACAAATTATATGTAGAAGAGTAAACTGACAAAATTCAGAGATTAATGTTTTCGTAACCCTTCTAGAAATGTGTATTTTTGATTGTTTAGTACACTATTAGGCTGTAACTTTTTATCTTGTTTTGCAACTTTTTTTAGCTTCCAGAAGATTTTTCAAGGGAAAAAAAAAATGCTCTCTCACCCCTTTAGTGTTGCCCCTGGTCTGAAGAGTATTTTTGTCACCCTTCCCCCATGTCCCTTTATGGAGAGATGTACAGTTGTGTCTAGGATCACGCTGATTAGCAGGGGCTTTGGGCCAAGTTGGTCAGCATTGCTGTGGGGCTGACCTCTTTTGTTGCTGGCAGGTGGAGTGGGTGAACCAGCTTCAAGGCTTTTTCTGGCAGGAAGATAAAGGACTCAAGAAGGGCCTGTGAAAGAGCTGTTACACCTAGACAGGAAGTTAGTAGAGGTCCTAAGGTTGGTAGGGAGATGAGCAGGCCTCATCCTTAACTAAGTACCTAACTTCACAGTGACCTGCTTGGGTGGGGGTGGAAGGCTTGCTTTGTCTTGATTTCAGTTCTAGTAGGCTTCAAACCAATTTTACGTACATCTTAAATCATGTGAGATGGAAATAGACCCATTGTTTCAACCTCTGCCCTGCAGAGATCTCTCCAATGAAGCTGGGGCTATTTTCAGTATCAGTAAAAATAGAAGAAATATAGATGTGAGGGGACAATAGTAATCTAGAGACATGCTCAATGTCAGCAAGACCTGGCCTCCATGGCTGACGAGTCAAAATAGCCATGGATCCCCGCCTCAGGCTGCCCTCATCCCTGCTTTTACAACCCTAGGTTACCCCAGGCCTTGCTGCTCAGGTTTTTAGCCAATAGCTGGAAAAACAAGTGCCTTGCAGGAAAATAACCCCGCCACCCTCAAGTCGCCTACCATATCCAGTAGGCACTGACCTAGAGCAACAACCTTAGAAGCGCAGACTAAATCAGTAGTTTTAGGGCACTGCCAGCCAGAAGTCCATTCCTTATTGATGCTGTCCATATACAAACACGGCTACGAGATTAGTGTGCTTTCCCAGCCAAGCGTAGAAATTCTCTAGCAAAACCCATGTGCTTGATTATCATAAGTGGTTAAGCCTTGTTTTTCTGTCACGGATCCTTCTGGGAAGTGAACAGGGAGCCACAGACCTTTGACTTGTCGTTTTGTCAATGTACCAAAAACAGTAACGCTCCTTTCACCTTTCTTTTCACAGAGGTACAGTCATCCTTGCCTCTGGTTCTGAACTTCATAGTGGAGAAAAAGCATTCGGGACTCTGGGGGATACATGTGAAATTTAACACCTGATTTGAGTTCTAGTCCTTGTTCTATCCAGGAATTCTTTGAAAGTTCACATTTGCCGGAATTAGTTAAGAAACAGAATCCAGTGCACAAGTTGTCTCTTGAGGAGTCAGAGTACCAAACCTTGCTAAAGAGGTGTGTTTTCAAAATCAGTCGGATAGAAAATCGTCTTCCTTTTTGAAGTGCAAAAATACCAATGAAAAGTCTTCAAGTTGGTTCTTGTCCAGTCTAACTTGACTGCATAATGGAGATAGGTCTCATAGTATTTGTTCATTCCAGATGCCATTTCAACCAAGGAAACAAAACCTAGTTCACTTGGGGAGAGGTGGAGAAAAGACCAGAGTTGGTGATCTGCCTTTTGTTTTAAACATTAATTAGGCAAGTTAGGTTGTCTTAAACCTTCCAATCAGGAAAGGAGCTTAAGCAGTAGTAGAAACAATGGGCCCATCCCAGAGCTACCCAGCCTGACCCCAAGCTATGCCAACAGTCCACAGGGCAGGATCGGGCAAAGTCAACTAGAATATTTAAAAATCCATGTGGGGTAAACTGTGCCTTTGGTACTATCACAAAGCACCATGCAAACCAACGGGTCACAATGTAGACTCAGACCTGCTGTTGAATATTTTAACACAAGCTATTTAATATAAACAAAAACTAGTGAACTGAATTGTCAACATATTCTATAAACTTGATGTTTCAGCCTTACCTTGGGAGTTCTGCCACCTCACTGGCCTAAGGAGGAAAAGAACAAACGCCTTAGAAACAGACGACAGTTGGCCCTTGAACAATACAGGTTTGACTTGCACAGGTTCACATATATGTGGATTTTTTTCAATAAATACTGTAAATATATTTTTGTTATAATTTTCTTTTCTCTAGCTTTATTGTAAGAATACACTATAGAATACATATACAAAATAAGTATTTCTTATTGGTAAGGCTTCTGGTCAACAGCACGCTATTAAGTTTTTGGGGAGTCAAGTTATAGACGGATTTTCAACTGGGGGGCATGTTGGTGCCCCAACCCCCACATTGTTCAAGGGTCAACTGTACTGTTCTATTTGCCCCCACAGAGCAGGGCTAACTATGCTTTTTAATCCCAGCTGGATAGTTTTATTTTAAATTTCACTTGCTTTCAGTATTCAGCAATTTATTCAGTGGGAAGCTCTCAAGGCCCAGATCGATTAAGTCATTCATATAAGAGAGAGAAACAACTCAAAAGATACTGGCTAGGAAAGCAGTAACTTCTGGAGAAAAACTTCACTGCTAGACAGTCACACCAAGGGTGATAGACAGTTAAGACTTGTTATCTGGGGATCTTAGGCTCCTTTATCAAACTTCCTAACCACACACCTGAACACCAGGATGCTTCTACTTGATTGCTTCTTACTGCTACAATGAAGTTGAGTGCCTCCCTTACTAGCTGAATGCTGGCCCGTGAGTGATACTGGTATTTCACATTCTGAAGGGGGGGAAACACTGAGTCTGGACTTAGTTCAGTCCTCTCATCTCTAAATTTTTAAATGAGACCATTCTCATGAGAAGACTCAACTTGCAGATCAGAGAAATAATACCAATTAGATAACGTATCAGGTTAATTTCATCTCAAACAGAACCCAGCTCCATACATAGTTCAGGATCTGGAGGCATTGCAGAAAATTTGCATTTCAGAGTTCCAGTTTCACCAAATTATTTTGGAGTAGCAATTTCCTCTTATAATTTTCCCTTTCTGTCTGAGGGAAATAATTACTTTATAACAGATTCCCAATGCCACAGGCCACAGACTATAAATATTTGCCCAGCACACATAGCTAAATACCAAATGATCATGGGTTAAAATCCAACTGAGCTGAGTGTGAATGAGCTCTGGAATAAGATTATATTTGAAAGTAAGTACTTAAAAACTCAATTATTAAAAATTACTTAAGGGTGATTGGTTAGCTTAGGTGGTTCGAGCGTGGTGCTGGTAACACCAAGGTTGCCGTTCGATCCCTGCATGGGCCACTGTGAGCTGCGCCCTCCTTAAAAGAGTCAACTACGCCACTGTAGCATGAAAGCAATGTGTAACCAGTGACCATGGCTGTTCCCCAATAAAATTTTTTTTAAAATTACTTAAAATCAGTAGTCAGAACTTTCAAATGACACTGAAAAGCACAAGTAATTATTCCTGAGCACTGTCGGTTGTGTGGTCATTATACTGGTCATTTACTGTATATACTAACTTGAAAGTCAACTGAAGACTCTAGAAGCAAGGTATTTTCTTGACTGGCTCTACTAGTATAAGATGCCTCTAATATTGTTACCATATCAGTAAGTTCTCCTTGTGTAATAGTTAACTAAGGTAATAACCTATCTCCTTTTATTAAATTCCTGGGCAAAGTCTATGATACACTTTCATTGAAGTCATCCGACAAACACGTTTTGTACTGCATGAAGAAATACTCTCAGAATACTTTCTAAAGGTGACTTCAGATTGGGTTTGGTAAATAGCTGGAAAAACAAGGGTTTTGCAGGAAAAATAACCCCACCACCTATGTATGCATATATTTTATTTCTAACATTTCTGCACGCATTTCTGGATTCAAGAATCACTTGAGAAAAATTTATCCTTAAACCTTGAATCTAGAAATGTGATAATTGGCTTTTAAAGAAAACAAAATTGTGAATATCTCCACTTCAATTTTTATTGTATGCGTTATCAATTCAGTGTCTTCTCTGGAAAGAATGATAAGGTTTTACAAGAATTCAGAAATGCCAGAAATGACAATGAAGTAGGTTCCAAAGGTTAAGGCTAAAGCTGAATAGCAGCTCATTCTGGACACACACCAAGGCTGAAAGCATCTCATGCTGCAGAACAGAACCAGAACACCCTGCCCATCGCACTCCAATTCTCTTATCGAGCTACCGACTGCTCTGCTGCTGTAATTACAGGGACAGTCTCAGGAGCTCTGCACAGAAAGGCCTCCTCAGCTCCACCTTACTTACTCTCCCCAAACTCCAAGGAGGCTTTTTGAAAAACCTATATCCATGTCAGTTTAGTTGAAACAAATGCTTTGTACTGTAGAGCTGAACTGTCACACTGATTTGATCTCAGTAGAAATTCCGTTTTCCTTTTATAAACGAGAGCCTAGTCCCATTTGGTTCTAAATTACAGGCAGAAAACGATGACATGTTAAGAAAATAATGACATTTTAATTCAGTGATCAAACCCAGGGCCAATTCCTGAAAATTCTGGGCAAGCTGACGTTAGCTAAGGTCACACAAATCTGTGAAATACAAGAGCCAGGATCTAAACCTAACTCAAAACCCATGTTTCCAAACATATCATAGTTTAAAATTGCTCTCAGGTCACAGAGTCCTAAACAAACAAACAACCTTTGAGCAATATGAAGATGGAGTGATGTCATAATATTTACCATCTCTGTAGCAATGATAAATATTTACTCAATGTGGTGAGACCATTCAAAGATTCAGGCCAGGTGTCAGATTCTCAAGCTTACAGTATTCAAGAAATAAAACCATCAAGAGTAGAAACTGCTTCCAACAGGCTGAACCAGTAAGGTAATAAAAGGCAAGGAGGGTTTCTGGCAAGACTTAAGACAGAAATCAAGGATTATAAATCTATATAGTTTTATTCAGACAAAAACTGACAGTGTGGTATGAAGTTTACATTTAAACAAAGTTTTCACAGAAACCTAACACATGCCTAAAAAGATTTTACAATGGAGTACTAGATACAGGTCTAGATGATGTCAAGAACTGATGGATTTCATAATTCAAGACAGTATTTTGGGAATTAATTCTTAGGGTAAAAAAGTTTTGTATTGTGTTTTAGTGAACCACTGCCCCAGTATGAAAGTTTAGTTTTCTCCTGAGACGAGGTCTTTTGAAATACTCCAACTCTTGAAGTGATTGGATAAACTTGTGCTGTCAGTGACTGAACCCTGCCACCAATGGTTTCAGAGTTCAAGGTTCAAAAAGCATAGAAGTTCCAAGAGCATGGGCCCTTCCCTTTACTCTCACACCTCCCATGCCATCCTCTTCCCCTCCCTAAATACCTTGGTCAGTGGCTTGGATGGACAAGCTAATATTTATAACTTTGTAACTGGAAAAGGGTCTTCTTGTCAATTTTAATAATTAGCACCTCTAAGACAGAATGCTCTGCCTTTGTATACGCTCCAATAAAAGACTTTCCCTCCTCAACCAGTTTCCATCCCCAAAATGGCAGCTTTGTTAGTCCTTTGTTGGGAACAGCATTAAGCTCAGGCAGGGAACACCTTGGCTTATAAGTTTTAGGCATTCACAGCTTCTAAACAGTCTCTTACAGTCCTCATTTAGATTGCCAATGACATTTTTTGAAAAGATAAAATATTCTGGACACAGAACCAATTCATTAGTTGTTTGTTCCTTCCATTGTTTCATCACTTCCCCAATCAGGGCCCAAATTTTAACAAAAATGATCCTACCCATCTCCCTTGCTTCCCACCCCACCCCTCCCACACCCAAATAATACACCTGTAATAGCCAAAAACTACACACATGCTACGCTGTAAAAATGCAGTTAACACTATTGGGAAGAAGGCTGTGGATTGTGGAGATGCTCTTTGAAGATCTACAGTATCTTTTTGCTCTCCCACACACCCATTCTGCAAGTTTTGTCCTTCATAGAAGGCCCTTTGCTTTTCTCAGCAAAGTGCAGAATGGATTGCCTTGAAACACTTACCCTCCTTCCCCTCCACTGGGATGAGTGTGCAAACTATACAGCATGGTGCGGCTTTAAAGCACTTGGGCTGCTGTAGGGCACAGAAACTATACTGGCTCTTCAAAGGACATCTTCTCAAGCCACCTCTATGGTGTCAAGACAAGTAGAACTCCTTCCCCTCCCCACTTGAAACCCGCCATCAGATGTGACAGGGGCTGGTACTCAAGAGAGTTAATTCTTGTCATCTTTTTTGTCATCATCCTCCGAGGGGTAGGAATGCCACGTCAGCCTTTCCTCATAGAAGGATATGACAACCTGGGGGCACTTGACATTGGCTTCCTTGGCAGGGACCAGGTCAGCCTCATCAGAGTTTTTCCTGCAGAACAAAGCAGAGAGAGACTTTGAGGCCAGGTGCCAGTGGTCTCCCAACTTGGATCACCCAGGGATAGGGCTTTAAAAATATTAATTCCAGAAGAGTAAACTAGGGAAGGGTGCCGACATGGCCCAAGCAGCATTTACTGGCAGCTTTTAGGCAAGTGACATCCTTGGAGATCTTTTGCTGTTGAAAATCCCCTCTGGATATCTTTGTCAAAAGCTAGGTCACCTAACTCAATCTGTCATATCTGAACCTCTGGGAAAGGGCAAAAAAAGTACGACTCTTGGATTCTCTGAGGGAAGAAAAGAGGCTACTGCACTCTTCCAAAAGCCACAGCCCAGCTGCTAAGAGCCCATGGAGAGATCCTGGTCTGGTAACAGGATTTTATACCATGTAGGATAAGACTTAATACCAATATGACATTGGCCAGAGACAATGCAGGTGGACACTTTCTTGATGACTCCTACTTTAACATTACCAAATGCCATGCTCACACAGACATGCCACAACTCCCAGGTGCTTTGAAATGGTGCTTCAACACTGGGAGGAAGAAAATGAAGGAACTATTACATAATTCTCTATATTCTTCTGAATTTTAAAATGTTCTCAAAATTTGAAAATCACATCCATATTACAAGGGACACAGGAATAAGCTCTATCTTCGGGTCACTGGGAATGTCCTGGATGAAGTAGTAGCAAAGGGTAGGCAGCAGATATGATAGGATCTCTGATGAAGCACCACTCAAAACTTCCAGAAAACCAGCAACAGGTAAACCAAAGCCACACAGCCCCACAGAACCAAAGAGTAAGCTCAGGTAAGGTAGGGTTCTGAACAGACTCAAGTGAATGCGAGGGAAAGGCATATAACAGCATGGGAACCTGAAGCAGGCTGCCCCTTGTTGACAATTCAACAGCATCCTGAGGTAAGTTCAGTCATTTCAATGCATAGAAATATTTGCTGTTTTTGGAAAGGGACAAGTATCTCTGCTCTCCAGAAAAATCACTTTAAAATGATCTTGGTTTTATAATCAACATCAATCTTAACTTGTAGAGTTATATTCAGCTATAATCTTTACACACAGCAGTGAGTCAACCATAGGAGTGTAATCTTAAGCAATATGGAGGTACTACTTAACTCAGACTGGTCACATGCAGACAAAATGTATTCTAATTGGATTGACTAACTCCTGGAATCAATTCTTTCCCCCCATATGCAGCACCCTAAAAACGAACTTTAAAAAAAAAAAAAAGAACTTTTCTCCTCCAGGCTAGCAATAAATCAGCTAGGAGGAGGTAAGATTCAGTAAACACCCAGAGAATGCACAGGAAGAAAACAGGTTCAGCTAGTTGTGACACCGGCTTCAGTGGTGTTAAAGAGAGGCCTCTCTGGCCACCTTCTAAAGGAAAGCAATTAGTACAGATATGAGTTTGAGTTTCAGAGAAGGTTCTACAATGACAAAAGGACAAAGCACCTAGAATGCTGCCTTCATTGGCAAAGGTTTAGAATTATTCACTCCTAATTTATATTTTAAAAATAATGATTGAGATCTACTTGGGGCGGGGGAAAGCATAAGCATTTTCAACAAGCAAAAAAAAAGGGGGCAGGGGGAGAAAGCCTTCCTTTTGGACAGAGAATAGGGAAATTATAGAGAATTTTGGGTTAACTACAGTTCTTAAGATTCTCCAGACAACTGTGTCCATTAAGCTGTTTCACAGAGCATTACTACCACTGGTGTTTATACTTATAATGGGGAAAAGTAAAAAGTAGGCTTGTTTTAAACTCAGTATATAGGAAAGGGACCTTGCTGACCCCTGCTGGCTGATCTGGGAATTGTAGAATCTGTACAAACCGGAAAGGATCGTTATCAAGGACAAAGGAAGAGCTACAGAAATTCTTTCCTAACCCTGAGAAGTTAACAGACTCTGATCCTGGGGCCAGCCAATCTTTATTAAGGAGGTGGTAGAAGGGGAGGGTGGTTCAATCACATTTCATATTTTTTCCCTTCACTTGCAGAAGTGAAATGTGATTCCTCCCCATACCCTCTCCAGTCTAGATTTTCTCCCACCTCCTAAAAAAATGGGCAAAGATCTGAGAATCCTAAGGGCCCCTACCTGTAAATCATGAGTCCAGGCTGGCAGTCAGGCCGAGGGTCACTATCGAAGGACTATGCCATCTTAAAGATTTCACACCTGGGTAACTGGAATTTCGAAGGTCCAGCTCTTTTCCTCTGGCATGGAACAAATGGGAGAAGAAAAAAACAACCACACAGAGCTACTGGCAGACTCACCATTTCATCAGGAACATGAGTTCTCCACTGGAGTCTGTAGCTCCAATAATCCGCTCTGGCTCCAAACCCCGGGCAAAGCCTCGTGGCTTTTCTGACTGCAAAAACCAGACGGATGGAACAGTTTTCACTATATGGACTGCTATCCAGACTGCAGCCATTCCTGTTTCTCTGATTAATGTGTTCAAATTCTTTTGCCAGTATTTCACTAATACCATGGCTCCAAGTCACAGGCCTTTTAGAATTGTTGTAAGTGATTATCCCATCAAGGTCTGAAGTGCTTGAGGTTTCCCCACATGTAAAACGGGACATACATGTATATTTCAAGCAAAATAAATGTTCACAATGGTTTCTTCACCCTCAAGACAACTTAAAGGTACTGAATAAATTAAAATAGTTACCTCAAACCTGTAATGATTAAAACACTGAAAGCTATCTACTTATAGGAAATGAATTATTCTGGAACCTCAGATAAAATAAGAGATTATGAGGCTTCAAAAGAGTGAGCCCCCAAACACTCTGTAAGCATTAGCCTACCTAAGATTTCAGAGAGACTGAGAGGAAGCTGCTGACATCCAAGAAGCAGGAGAACGAAAGTGCTGGAATTATCTGGCTTTCAGCTTCTTAGACAGCAGTAAGAATTCTGGCTAGTAACAATTCTTACTCCTAGTCTTACCTCTTCTTTCTTCTTCTTTGGTTTGCTCTCCTCTCCCTTATCTTCAGAATCGGAGTCAGCTTTGCGCTTGCCGCCCTCTGATTTATCTGTCTCGTGTGCTGTTTTCTGTGACTGCAGAAACTCAGCAATGAGGTCGGGGCAATCCAGGTTCTCTTCTGGCTCCCACGTGTTGTCCTCACTGAAACCAGAGAGCACGGTCAGTCACGCTTTCCACTCAAAGTTAGCACACTCATACAAAGGAGAAGCACAGGACAAGAGCTGGTTTCTTGGAAAAGAGGACTTAACAATAATGAGTAACTAGATTTTGCCCAACACCAAGAACTGGGGAAAGTGAAAATTTCTTGAGGGGTGATGGGGGACATACAAATTCAAAGTTTAGAAACTTGCCTCTTTCAAAGGAAAACTACTTTCTCATTGTAAACTTGGATTAGTCTAAAGCCACACACAAAACTGCTCTTCCGAAATCAGTTTTGCATTATAGCACTTTGTACATACGGATCATTTTCCTAGACTATAAACCGTAAAGGCCACGCCTGAGTCACATGGTACCTATCAGAGCACCCTAGGCTCTGCACATTACTAGACTCCTGGGAAACAGTTGGTGACTAAATGAATGGATTTACCCAGGTCAGTGAAACTTACTCCGAGAACCCCTTCCACTTTAGGAGGTACTCCACTTTGCCCTTTACCACTCGACGGTCGAGAACTTTTTCCACCACGTATTCCTCTTCCTCCTCTTCTAGCACCTCCTCGACTTTCTTCTTGTTTTGTTTTTTCCCCATAGTGCCCGCCAGCTTTCTGGTATAAAGGGTGACGCTGCTAAAATGATAAAGGAAATAAAAAGGTCATTAAGGGCACACTTTTCTTGGTTAGGTGAATATCTGAAGTGTAAGAAAAACGGACATCACAGATGAATTTAATAGTGTGTGCTGCTTATATTAAGTGCTATGCCTATTCATCTTCAATACACAATGAAATTTTCTGATTTATTCAGCTAGAAAGTTAGTTCATAAAACAGCCCCAACTAATCTCACAGCAAATTTTTTTATTCTTGCATACCCACTCAAAACTTATAAACCTATTCTAAGCTAAAAAGTTCCCAATACCCCTTTTACTATAAAGCATGGTATCTAAAATATATTAAATTGAAAGAAAATCCTCCTAAAAATAAGGCATATACACCAAAACTTCTAGTCATATAATCCTCTAATCCATACTTCCTCCTATTCTCTGCACATTTTCCAATTCATCACAGTGCTGCACTTGAATTTTTACTGTGGAAAATAGCTTGTCGTATTCATTAAACATCTAGTTTAATTTTCCCTTTTATATGTGCACACAATCCATTCTTGTTAAAACACTCCCTCTTTCAAGTCCCCTTAATATTCTTTAAGCAGTCTTTTATGAATGCCACCATTAATTAATTTACAATTCACAAGTTTCTTATTAACTTCTCATTCTACTTCGTTTATTTCTAAGACTAAGAAAGACTCATATAAATGACAGAATGACCACACTAAAAAAATGACCATGGAATTCTCTGAACTAGAACACTGCAATAATTTGGAAAATGAGTGGGGGAAAAAAGGTAGGTATCGCAGATAACAGAACCTGAGTTTATTCTTTTGTAAAATACATCACCAGGCTGGGAAATCCCTAAGGGTTTTTCCAGTACTAAAATTCAAGTCCTTTATAAGTCTTTTTTCTTTAGTCCTCATACAACTGACTGCTGTTAGGTTTAAAGCCTTATGTTTACCAATCTGTGTCAGTAGGTGGCGCCATATGATATCAATACAACAAAATTGATCTATAAAACTAGCTGAAATCTACAAATTGATGGACCACAGTTGCCCAAAATGAGATACAAAAAAATCAAGAGTATGGCCGATAATCCAAACAAGAAAGAAGTTATACTACCATGTTTAAATTTAAGACCATGCCAATTTGGGGTTAAACTGGTTCTTCTTAGTCATCCTTGGGAAAAGGAATCTAACTTAAGTAGATAGAAACTCTTCAAAATACTTTAAAGTTGGCCTGTAAAACCAGAATGCATTTTAGAAAGAGTCCATCTATAGACTATATGAAATATAATAAATTTCTCATGAAAGTCAGGATCATTATGAATCAGCTGTATTATCTATACATGCTTAGGTTTATACTCTGAGATATTCCCAAGTCTGCATATATGAGCAATGCTGACTTAAAAAACAAACACTTGTTTGGATACTAGACAATTCTAGACACTGCTGGATACTGGAGATTCAAGAGAACAAGAAATGGTCCTTGCCTTCCTGAAGCTTAATATTAGATAAGAAAAAACGTAGAAACCTCTTCCACTAAAGGTACTCTGAACTTTTGCAGAGTGGCACAAAACAATGTTTTTTGAGGTGCTTTTAGTGTGGCCTACATCTAACAAGGCAACATCCAAGCCACCCCACTTCAAAACACATATCTGCTAAGAGTATCTTTTCAACACTCTTCCTCTCCATTTTCATACTGAAGACTGCTTTCCTTGCCTAGCCAACCCCTCTTATCTTAGAGAAAGTGCAACATGAGTCTTCCTTTCCCTCTGTTACTGAACAGATTAATCAGTCGATTGAATGCAATCTTTGGCTACCTCTTGGCTAGCTAGCTTCATTGTGCCTCTGGATTCAGAGGCTGTGCCTCTTCCTGGAGGGAGATGCTTTCATGTTTTCAGAATTCTGACTGCCACGTGACAAGTGTTATTTTATGAGGAAAGAAATATCCAATTTTCCTTTTGGATAAATGCAATAGTGTTTTCTCTCAAGAACAAGTACTACTTACTCCTTGTTTGCTTTTCACTGTTGGTTGAACGGGGTGGCAAGATTCATCATTAGTCTTTGGTTAAAGTGCAGGGAAAAATAAATAGACAATCACCTTTAGATAACAAAGGCCACCACAACTCCCTACTTTAATTTGAGCTTGGAAATTGGAAGATACTCCCTTTTCTCAACAGGCAGAAGGTAAACAATGGGTTACAGATGATCCCAAAACAGTAACTGTCCGCTAATAACCCCTCTTCCAAGTAATTAAATTTCAGAAAGTAAATATATGGTAATGGAAGGAAACTAGATTTTGGGTGGGGAGCACACAGTTGAGTATACAGATGCTGAATTATAATCTTGTACTCCTGAAAATTACATGTTATTAACTAATGTTTCTCCCAATAAATTTAATTTAAAAAATAAAATAAAATCGAAAGAAAGAAAAAGAGAGTGAGCATTGAATACTGACCATCTGATCCTGCTACTATGACCCAAAATGGTCAAGACAGCTTTGGCTTGGCTTATCACTACCTACTGCAGGCCTCTCCTCCCTGTGTCACTAGTATGGCCCCCAAGAAGTAAGAGTCATAGAATAGAGTAAGAATAAAATCCTTTAGGTTAGGTAAAGAAAGCCCCCCAAATGGGGAAATCTAAAGTAAGATCTCTTGATTTTCATCTTTACTCACTTAAATCATTGTCCTAAGAACAACTCAAATAAGTGAAGAATATAGAAAACACACTCCTGCTTTTCTCTGAGCTTTTTTAACTGGCTCATCACCGCACCTACCTCCAGGGATTGGATTCTTTATATTAATAGTGATTCTTAGCCAGGCTTCCCAATGTGAGATTTTTTCCCCTTATTTATATAGGTAGTTCTCTAGCGTCCTGAATAAGTTGTTTTCAAAATTAGTAGAGAAGTATATAAAATATGCAACCCACTCTTCCTATTATATCTAGCAACTTCAGAAGAGCCAAGAGCCCCCTTAAATATTATGAAGGACCAGTTATTCTCATAGTTTCCAAATGGATTATTTCAAGAGAACCTCCCACCCCCTCTCTGAAGATGGCTGTCTCCAAACACCAGCAGAGACTTCTGGAAGGACAGCTCTCAATTCGAATTGCTTGGCAAAGAAATTTCAAAGTAACTCAGATTAGTGCACAATGAAAAAATGCCCTTTAGTCAACATGCCTTTTCCCACTCCCCTAAGCATCCTGGCAACCAAGTTATGACATCATGAGTGCCATAATCAGGGGCCGGCCGAGTGGCGCGATGGTTAAGAACTCGCTTGGGATGCCAGAGGGCCCCGGTTCGGATCCCACATATGAGGGCCAGTGA